AAAAAAAGGACGTCTCTCACTTGAACGTAGGCCACAATCCAAACGAATTGACATTGTTGGCCATGATTCATAAGATAAGAAAATGCGAAATGACTCTGATTTGACATTGTACCCTCTCTAATGGTACCATTACAGTTAAATGCTAAACCCACATTTTATTTAACATAAATACAATTATGGCATGGGATAAGCCAAGGCTGGAATATGTACAAGAAAAATCAAACACTTTGATCACTCAGGGGGATGCTACTGTTTTAGATTAACCATTATCTGGCTGGTGTTGGACCGTCCAATCATATTCATGATAAAGCACGGAGATTAATTACACATGTCCGAATAATCAGAGCTAATATCTTAATTTATGAAATTCAAGATTTGGTAATAAATAATGACAGCATTACACCGATAGTGCCCCTTTACCATGATGTGAAGCAAAGCCTCATCTCATTGCAGCAATGACTAAAATCAAATGGATTGCTTCATAATTAATCGCTATCATCTTAGTTCTTGTACTTTATTATATATTGATATCACATCATTTCTATTTGTCTTATGAATTTGTTACACATACATCCTTGGCGTTCGGCTACCGGCAAAAATAATGATGGGCCTACAGTTTGAACAACCAACCCACGTTCCACGAGCCATTGAATTCCCTTCTAGAGGACTTATTCCTTCTCAAGGCACCACAGAGTAAGATTTTAAAATGGAGGGGTGTGTGCTCGAATGCCAAGTGGCAGGTGACTTGTCTTTTCTTTGACGATTCAATTATTTGACATGGAAAAACACATGTTAGCCGTTGCCGTGTTAAGCACATTACAAAACAACATCTAGATGTGTAATAAGCCTAATCTATACTGCTGTCAAGTACATCTGAACCGTCATTTGCATAACATGGTAAGATTTGAGCTAAAATAGAACATGGTATTCGATAATCTGAAACCAGTTAAATTTTGAATCAATTCAAATATCTAATTGGAAAAAGAAACTTAATTATTATATTAATACCAATATATTAACTTAAAAATGAGGTGGGATGATCTGAACCACCTGAAGAAGAAATTCAAAGAGCATATAATGGCCTCCATGGGCCTCAGTTTAGAGCTGAAGAGGACCATTAGAAGGGCAGAAGCCATTCATGCATCTCTTTCTCTTAGGCCCCAATCAAGTAAACTTTTGGAAAAGCAAAACCTTAATGGCAAACACCACCAATCAAGCATCAAACACCCAACAACAGAATAACTCAATTTGTGGTGGTTGATCTCAGGATTTAAAGGCCCCCCTTTCAGCATTTGTTTTCTTATCAATCAACCAACTTTCAATCTCAAGAAACTATCTATATTTGAACACTTTTGTAGTTTCAAGAACCTCCATGAAAGATATTTCTTTTTCGAGTTCTTCCATTTGGGAGAAGGGTATAAATATTTTAATTACCACAAATGTATCGATCGATATCTTTGCCCATCACTCACTATTTTTTATTAGTCATAATATTAATTTAAGAAATGATCATAAAATTATATTATTTGCTTAGACCAAATGATATTTGGTTTAACAAGATTTTAATTTCTTTATTTTCATTTTACAAATTAATTTCTCTATTTCTACACTAAATTACAAAGTGATTCAATTCGTCATCATATTTTTTTTTAAATAGTATGAGGTGATTATAAGATAGTATGTGTTTATAATCATTATTAATCATTGATAACGCTCGTACACCCTACACGCAACTGCTAGAACAAAGAATTAAGGAAATCCTATTAAAAAAACCGTACCAGAATGGCACAAACTGGGGAACTATTTTTTTCATCAACAATTCGGGAATTGTGGAAGAATAGAAACGAAACCATATTCAGAAACTCAAGAAAAGATACGCATCACATTATACGCTACATCTACAACCTAGCAAGGGACTTTAAGAAAGATGCGAAACTCATTAGAGAGTCACATTGGGTCCATTGGAGAAAACCCTCAATCGATTGCTGGATTTTAAACACTGATGGGGCGTGTAATACAAACTCTGGCCTGACAGCAGCGGGAGGCTTAATCAGGGACGAGAATGGAAACTGGGTGCACGGATTTATGTTGAATATTGGGAGAGCTACCAGTGCAATGGTCGAAATTTGGGGAAGGAACGATAATAGCCAAAACCCTAGGAGTAAAGAACCTCATCGTAGAATCTAACGCAAAATAAGCTGTCAATTCGTTAAACAAGGACAGAAATGAAGACCCGCGAAAGGAAATCATCTTTATGGATTGCGAAAAACTCATAAATAAGGAATGGATCATAGAGGTGAGACATATCTCGGGAAAAGAAAACCGAGGGGCTGACTGATTGACAAGAATTTTCCTTTCTAAGATGGTAGTTCAATAAACGTGGTCGTTTCAACCTTTATACCAAAAAAACAAACAATTTCTCTCTTTTAAACTCATTTATCATTATTGTTACACAAAAATAAAACGATCAAGTTATTTAATATGATAGATACCTGTTTTGACAAATTGTGATAGTGAAATTTGTTTTGATAATAATCTAATGTTCTAGTTACATACTTATCCATAGTGTTAGTGTTCGGATTACATCATCATCAACTATTAGCAAGAATGATCACATGATAGTGCGGTAACATTTAAGTACGAAATATTCTTATAGATTATTACACTTTTAGGTGTCTACTATTAAAAAAACCCGTTAAATGATACGTGTCACATTCACTTATAGATGTTTCGACAAGAATAATGAACGAATGAAAAGACATAAAAATATATCGAAAAGTAACAAATGCAAACCAAAAAAAACCTAAAGCATGGACCGAGTGGCAATTATTTGTTTCCTTAACATCTGAAAAGACGTCTAGTATATCCAGAATTGATCCAGATCCAATGGAATGTTGAAGCTTCAACCTTTTTTCAAAATGCCAGAAAACAACTTCACATTGGATAACGATAACTTCCCTAAAAACTAATCAGAGGCAACATGCAAAGATCTTTCGACCCTAAACCGCCAATTACGAGGCATCCAGCCAGATGTATGTAAATGCAATCATCTTCAAGTTGCAGACATCTGGTGTTTTGTCTGATATCCAACGAGTCTTTGGAGATTGGCATGGCAGTTTCAGGCAAGCAGTGAGAAACAGCGAGTTGGGTGTTTCAGACATGAAGGAGAAAGATCAAACACAACCACAGGACCAAATTAACCAAAGTTCATACAGGAAATCACAAAAATGGGTTTTGTTTTTCCAACGATAATGGCCGTACTAATCATGGGATGTAAAGTGGCTAAAGGGTCAATCTTGTCTGTGAACAGCCAAACATATCATGGTAGAATTATTTGATTGGCCATGGCATGTGATCTTGTTTTTGGTCCCACTTTGGTAGGGAATAAGAATCTTTACTGGTGCAGCAATAGCAGACCCATTGATCTTTGTTGGAACATGGGTTTTGGTATATGGCTACTCACATGTAAATACATTGATACTAATTAATCCAACACGACTACTCACATGTGATGTGTTATTATTAACTATTATTATAATAATATAATGATTAAATCATTCATTTATATTATATTTAAGGCTTAAAGTAAAAAATAAGTACTTAACTTATTTTTTTTAGGTATCTAAATTATTTTTTTATTAAATTAAGTGTTTAAATTATTATATTTAATTATTTTACGTCTTAATATCTTTCAGTTAGGAATTTATTTTTCGACCAACAATACATTGCCATGTCACACAAAATTAGGAATTTATTTTAACTAAAAAAATATTTTAGGGGCTTAAAGAAAAAAGAGATAGTTTAAGGACTTATTTTGATTAAAAAATAATTGAGGTACTTAAACTGAAAAAAAGGGTATGATTTAAGTACTTTCTCTTATTGAAGCCTATATTTAAATACATTTAAATTCACATATGTTATTGAACTCAACGAGTGATCTTAATAAAAAGTTTTGTTCTTCCTTAAAGGTTCTGCGTTTGAACAACTATGTTTGCAAAGTGTGTGTTGTCTTAAGAAAGATTATGAATAGATAATATTTTTTTATATCACATTTTTGCTTCTCCTTTGCTTTTTAAATTTTTTAATAACTCTATCTCTTGACATGTTTTCAGTCTTCTTTATTGGTCATTCGGTTGTTTTTTCGTTCATCTTTTTCTCATAGTTGGATTTGACGTTGCATCGATTGATCAAGATGACACTTATTTTTTTATATTGCTAATCCTCTCTGCTTTAAACCATCGGATTGGATTTTGGGTTTGTGTTTGTGGATAGTTTTCTCACATCGTTCGTCTCCGGTTTGCAATTTATTAGTAGTCTTTAATTAATTCGACCCTATTTTTTAGTGTGTTTGCTGATGCAGTCAAATATGGTCGCATCTATCTTTTTTTTGAATATTTTGATTGAATTTTTTAACTTTTTCCTTATATAATCTCAAGTGACAAGTTTATTGTGTTTATAGTTATAAAAAATATCCTAATTATATATTTAATAAGTAAACGTGATTATAAAAAAATTATTATAATTCTAAATATTTTCTCTTTTTAATAAATATAATGGGTTCTATAAAAAAATACATTTAAATTCATGAATTACTTCAGGACTCAAAGACCAAAATTAATTTGATGATTATTCAATGGGATGACTGATAGAGATCATAGCCCAGAACTTGCGTAGTGGGCTGGGTTTCAAAGTCACTTGCAAAGACCCAATTTTGTTTCTTGATGTTGATTATAGAAGTTATTAATCAACATAAACGAATTAAACACATCTATATTTAAATATATTAGTTTAGTTAAATAAATATTTATGGATTATTTGACATTAAATGTTAATTATGGATATATCAAATACCAAATAATATTATTTATTGAGCAATTTTTTAAAAAGATTATATCCTCAAATATGTCCGAGATAAGAGAGTCGAAGCAACACAAACAAATATCAGAGCAAATAGATTAGATGCCCTTAAACATAAACCTTCCAAGTTCCAACAATAAATTCCTCTATAAGGTCTTTAAGAAAGGTTTCACTCCACAGCTATACTCAAAATTCACAAAAGTTCTGAGCATTGTGAATTTTTGACCATACGATACTCAAAATACTAACCTTTTTATACAGAAACATGAACCATGGGGTTGAATTCTTTCAAAGAAACACAACAGACCTCAGCAAGAGTATTCCCAGTGTACAGATTTTCATCAGGCAATATCAAGAAATTCGCAGACAAAGCTTCCTGAGTAACTGCACGGTCATCCACCAATGTCACACTACCAACGCCTGCCAGTACAATGTTCTTGCAAAACTAAGCATACCCACAAATTTAAGCATATAATAATCATTAAAAAGAACAAAAAACAAAGCAATGACAAAAGACCTATAGTGATAAAAAGGATGTGAACGAGACTCATCAGTTTGAGTTCATATGCAACTCAATACTAACTCAAAAAGGAACTTGAATTCAGCTTGTTCTTTATCAAGCTTGAGCACCTTCAGAAAGCCGAATCATCTTTATGGATTGCAAAAAACTCATAAATAAGGAATGGATCATAGAGGTGAGACATATCTGGGGAAAAGAAAACCGAGGGGCTGACTGCTTGGCAAGAATGGCGATTAGTTTGAAGATCCACATCAAGAGATTGTTGCGATTCTTCAATCTGATAGAAAAGAAATTTCCTTTCTAAGATGGTAGTTCAATAAACGTGGTCGTTTCAACCTTTATACCAAAAAAACAAACAATTTTCTCTCTTTTAAACTCATTTATCATTATTGTTACACAAAAATAAAAACGATCAAGTTATTTAATATGATAGATACCTGTTTTGACAAATTGTGATAGTGAAATTTGTTTTGATAATAATCTAATGTTCTAGTTACATACTTATCCATAGTGTTAGTGTTCGGATTACATCATCATCAACTATTAGCAAGAATGATCACATGATAGTGCGGTAACATTTAAGTACGAAATATTCTTAGAGATTATTATACCTTTAGGTGTCTACTATTAAAAAAACTCGTTAAATAATACGTGTCACATTCACTTATAGATGTTTAGACAAGAATAATGAACAAATTCTAGAGGAATGAAAAGACATAAAAATATATCGAAAAGTAACAAATGCAAACCAAAAAAAAACCTAAAGCATGGACCGAGTGGCAATTATTTGTTTCCTTAACATCTGAAAAGACGTCTAGTATATCCAGAATTGATCCAGATCCAATGGAATGTTGAAGCTTCAACCTTTTTTCAAAATGCCAGAAAACAACTTCACATTGGATAACGATAACTTCCCTAAAAACTAATCAGAGGCAACATGCAAAGATCTTTCGACCCTAAACCGACAATTACGAGGCATCCAGCCAGATGTATGTAAATGCAATCATCTTCAAGTTGCAGACATCTGGTGTTTTGTCTGATATCCAACGAGTCTTTGGAGATTGGCATGGCAGTTTCAGGCAAGCAGTGAGAAACAGCGAGTTGGGTGTTTCAGACATGAAGGAGAAAGATCAAACACACTGTCGTAACCGTCTTTCGGTTGGGTCCCGGATTTGGGCTTCGACTTAAAAATGTGGATTGGAGTCGCCACCGACCACTTTAAAACGAATTTAGGTGGGCCGGACACCATCTTACCTGATCTGCGTTGTACCAGAAACGTATCGGGTTCGGGAGTCGGTTACGGTTAAGGAAGGATTAGCACCCTTGAACCGCCCTTTCGGTACCAATTAATTTGTCGGTTGTCTTTAATTGCGAAGAATTAGAAATTAAAATTAAAATTTAAAAACCGATTCATATTACTTACCTTTGATTGATTGGAAAAAATGTTAGACAATAAATAAATAAATAAATAAATGTTAAATAAATAAAATAAATAATAAATGAAAAGGAAAAAAATAATAATAATTTAAAAATGTTTAAAAAAGTTAAATTTTAAAAGCAATAGAATAAAGAAAAATATGAAGAAAGAAGAAAAAAATAATTAAAGAAAATAATAAAATAAAGTAAAAAACTTAGAACATCAAATTGAAACAAATTAAAATTAATGGGTTAAATTGATATTAAAAATGAACTGCAAAAGTAAAAATAAAAAATTAGTGGGCCAAATCATAATTATTAAAATATTTTTTCATGCAAAATAAATAAATAAATAAAAGGTCACAATGGAGTAACTCTTGAAGGGCCAAGATGATAATTTACCCTTGAAAATTCCAAAAGCAATGGCTCCCACGTGAATGCCGTGAACCTTTCTCCAATAATTGTGAAACCAAATTTAAATTTGGTTCATTCTTCCTCTTTACAGTCTACACGACATAAAAACAGAGAGGTCATCTCGTCTTGGCTTCAATGTTCAGAGGTCGGCAATGGAACCACCGTGGTGCTCGTCGCTGGACACCGTTCGACCCTAAATTTCACGGGAGGTCTCGTCTCGATGCGAGGAACACAGATCCGACCTCCGTTTTGCGAGGAACAGTCTCTAACTTGACAAAAAGGTCGTCAACTGTTTAACTTTCTCCACTCCGATTTACCACCTTCCGCCGCTGGATTGTCAAAATTTCCGGGTATGTCGTTTTCTAGTCTCTCCTCTACCTTCTTATTTTGTTTTGCATGTCTCGTTGGTGGTTAATGCTTCCATCGGATTTTATTCGAGCAATCACGATGTATGTAAAAAAAAACATGAAACAAAAGGGAAGCTTTTAACTAAAAGAAACTCTTTTATTGACTTTGATGATTGAGTTACAATGACTGGATTTCTCTAGTAATCCCTTTTTTTCAGAGTCGAATGTGAGTTCCCCTTCGTGTTTCTTGTGTTTTTGCATGTAATTTCTCTCGAAAAACCCCCCCTATGAGTTTGATTACAAGCCTATTTATACAAAAAAATGCATGCTTGTTTTTAGTCCAATTTCAGTTCTAATCAAACTCTACTACCCCTATTTGTTTGATATCCACGGTTGTTGCTCATGGCCGAGAGAATCGGGCTTTGTTGAGCAGTTGGTGTCTCACATATTCACGTCGGTTGGAGGCCGAGAAGAGTGGGGGTCGTTGCGTGAGAAACAGCGTGCCAAGGGAGGGAACCTCGATCGAGAACATGACATGCGACGCTAGGGTTCTGAAAACCCTAGCTGATACGGATAGAACGCGTCTTGGATCTTGGCTGGGCCATACGTGGACTAATTTTATTTGATGTAACAGGCCTGCACAAATGTAAAGAATAAAATTACTAATATAATAATATTAATAAATAAAAGACAAAATTAAGTGTCTTCAGCTGCCCCTCTTTGCTCATTATCGTGCAACGACAATAGAGCAAAGATTAAAAGACACAGATTTTGTCCATATAGAATATCCTCCGTCGTAGAGTTGAAATCCGATATTGAAACTGGTTTGTCAATTGACAGCCACTCCTTCCTTGAGTTGGATATCCTTCGTTGTGAAGTTGAAATCCAATCTAGAGATGGATACTGCTTGTGCGCACGATTCCCTTCGTTGTGAAGTTGAAACCGTGGGTGGCCCTTGATCTGAAGACTATGGTGTTGTGGTGTTACAGATGACTCCTTCGTCGCGAAGTTGGGTCAATCTGTTTGTGAAGTTGGAATTGTATATGGCTCCTTCGTCGTGAAGTTGAGCCTGAGAATTGGATATCCCCCGTCGTGAGGTTGAAATCCAATGCAACTTGCGTTGTTTCGAGGCCAATATCCTTCGCTATGAAGTTGAAATTGACTCTGAAACTGGGAAGTTGTTTGTTGACAGCCAGCGGCCCCTTCGTTGTGAAGTTGAACTTGTGCTGTCTTAAACTGGGGAATTTTTGTTGACAATCAGCGGCCCCTTCTTTGTGAAGTTGAACTTGTGTTGTCTTGAGTCCAATATCCTTCGCTGTGAAGTTGAAATTGGCTCTGAAATTGGGAAGTTGTTTGTTTACAGCCAGCGGCCCCTTCGTTGTGAAGTTGAACTTGTTCTGTCTTAAACTGGGAACTTTTGTTGACAACCAGCGGCCCCTTCGTTGTGAAGTTGAACTTGTGTTGTCTGATACTGGGAAATTTTTGTTAACAACCAGCGGCCCCTTCGTTGTGAAGTTGAACTTGTGTTGTCTTGAGTTCCAATATCCTTCGCTGTGAAGTTGAAATTGGATTGGGAAATTGTTTGTTGACAGTCAGCGGCCCTTTCGTTGTGAAGTTGAACTTGAGCTGTCTCGAGTGGCACGATATCCTCCGTCGTGGAGTTGAAATCGCGGATGGCCCCTTCGTCGTGAAGTTGAGCCTTGACTTGAATATCCTTCGTCGTGAAGTTGAAATCCAAGTATTGTATGTTGCAGGTGGACACGATTCCCTTCGCCGTGAAGTTGAAACCGTGGAGACCCCTTTGTTGTGAAGTTTGGCTTCGAGTTAGATATCATCCGTCGTGAAGTTGAAATCTACTCTCGAGCACATTGTTTTGTTTCGAGCGAAACTGCCTCATGGGAGACAAAATTTGTTTCAAAAGAAACTGTCTCAAGGGAGACGAAATTTGTTTTAAGGAAAACATATTCAAATATTTTGTTCAAGGGAAACTGTTTTCAAAGTCGATGTTTCAAGAGAGACTGTCTCAAGGGAGACAAAGTTTGTTTCAAGAGAAACTATCTCAAGTGAGATAAAATCTTCTAGTGAAAACGGTCTCAAGCGAGACAAATCTTGTTTTAAGAAAAATAATCTCAAGTGAGATAATCATCTGCATTAAATGAAACTGTCTCAAGCGAGACAAAATTTATATTGAAAATGTCGAATCTGAAGATGAATGTCAACATTTTCAATCTGTCAAGTTGGTGGAAATGTAGCTTCTTGCTGCTGAGTTAAGCAACCAACATGAATCTTTAAAGGTGCTTTTGAATCGAGTATCCTTCGTCTTGAAGTCGAAACTTGATTCTAAAAGCTGCAAAAATTATGTATATGGAAAAGAATGATGAATATGATACTCTCAAATGTATGCATAAGATGCGTGTAACATGAATTGGTTATATTTTATCTGATAATTTGCATTAAGATGTTGAATCCCCAAAGATGCCCCAAATGTTCCTCATTTCTTGTTTCAGCATTGATTCTGAGCATGAGTTTTGTGTCTAAGAGTCGCATGTCATTTACCAAGATCCACTCTAGAGAGACTGTCTTGTTTGAAAAAAATATTTTTTTTTCTCTTTTATTTTCAAAGTTCTAAAAATATCAATTAAAAGAGTTTGAAAAATGTTTAATCAAAAGTTTTGAAAATATTGTCTCTTTCACGGTTTTACAATTGAGACGAATCATAAAACTAGAGTTCATTGGATATCAAATATT